GGCACGTTGCAGCCCCATTTTAGGTATTAAATCCATTATAGGTAGAAGACGGACTTACAAGCTTTCTATGGTAATATTTCTAGCTATTCCTTTCTCTCCCCCTCCAGTGTCTATTTTATAATACAAGGAAAACCAATATTCAAAAGACAGCAGAGCATCTTAACATTACTTTCCCCATTCTAACTATATCTCAATCCCTGTATCCCGGAGCCCTATTGTTCCAAGGTTATGCGTACAGCATTATTTACCTCTGTCCCACTTAGGCCATGTAAACCTGCCTAACTGTTCTCCCATCTGCTTTGTTCTTCCATTCCCCTCTCCCTTCTTGTATATTGTCCCCCTCCCCAGCCCCAAAACTATCCTGTGTCTATTCCCTGCCCTGTGCTCCACCTTCCCCTCCCTCTACTCACCCCCTCTTGTGGGTAATTACCAAATAGAGGAATTGCTACATCATCAGGTATTTCTCTTTCCAACCTTCTGAGGAAACGCCATATTGCTTTCCAGAGAGGTTGGACCATTTTGCAGTCCCACCAGCAATGCAGGAGTGTCCCAGTCTCTCCACATCCTGCCAGCATTTATTATCCTTTACTTTTTTTGATCTTTGCTGTTATTGCTGGTGTGAGATGATACCTCGTTGTTTTGATTTGCATCACCTTGGTCATGTTTTAACACTGCACTTTTTTCTTTGTCAGCTCTGGTGCCAGATTCATAACTGGAGCCCCAGATCTCTCACTCAGGATCCCCAATGCAACTTTACCATTTTGGGGACAAGTTTGTAATGTCAGGTATGGTATTTTCATTAAGCTGTAAACACTAACTCTGTCCACATCCCTTGGTGGTATAGGGCCACAGGCCAGATGAACAGACATAAAGGTCAGTGTAGAAGCAGTGTCTGAAGGAAGCAGAATCCTGGAAGGCTGCAGTGTGGCTGCTGCCCAATTACATGTCTACATTGTCTTCATTTCTATTTACACAAAAAGAACACACAGTATGATACACAGTGTCATTTGAATATTTGAGATATGGAAAATGGCTTTTCATTAGTCTATTAGCCATGTCTTGAGTAGAAACTATAGGCTAGAAACAGTGATTCTGAAATGAGAGTCAATTCAGTGGTTTTAACCAAGTCCATGGACTTCATGTCTTGGAAGAAACCTTGTTTGAGCTTCCTCTGCTGACAGGTTACAACTACAGCAAGAATAAAGTAAGGAACTGAGTGTGGGTTTAGTTTAGGGACACACTACTGAATGCTGTGTAATGCTAACAAAAATGTGAGGAAAAGATTGTGTCTTGAGATTCATGGAAATACTCTTGGTTACTGAAGCTATCCCAAAGCCTGGAAAGTGAGTCTTCTTTCATTCCAGGGGCCCATTAAGTCTATAACCCTTCCTAGAAACATCAGGACCTGAAACACATTCATTTGGAGGTTTCCTCTGCTTTCAGACACACTGAAAAAAGTTGTATCTCCATTTTCTAAAATATATGAGATCACACTCAAGCTAGAGGCTGGAGACCTCCTAGGGCATCAGTGCTCTTCTATTACTCTCTGTCCTCCAGATCCGCTCACGTCTAGGTTTGCTGCATGGTATTAAAATCCACTGAAACTAAGAATTATGTTTCCATCTGTGATAGAATAGTAGTACCTGACTGGCTCACCCTGGTCATGTCACAGGGCAGCCCCCACGAGGCAGACAGCAACCCCAAAGCCTCCCTGTGGGGCAGTGCCAGCTCCCACCCCACCCTTCTGTTTAAAAGGGTTGACGAGGCCCTGTGTTGGTTCAGCCTGACAGGGGCCTGGTGTCCAGCAGATACGGCAGGATCCTTCCTTTCTGACTGTATCCAGACACCACGTATCCTCACACTGAGCTGCATGTTCAGGAAAGGCTGGCTACCACGCCCAGAAGCAAGTGTTAGCCACTCACCACTGCACAGAACCTCTACCTGCGTGTCCCTGGTCTGGCTCCTAGGAAGGAGTTATTCCCTGCATACTGCTGTTGTGCACAAGGTCCAGAACCTATTGGTCTTTTTACTTTGTTCTGCTGCTCTCAATGGCCTGGCAGACTCGGTGGTCCTCCCTGTCCCAGGTTGTCCCCTTGACACTACCACGTTCAGTCAACTTTAAGGTAGGGCGCTGAGGTGAAAGGCCCAAGGATCAAAGATCTTGACATTTCCCTTAGATTTTCACAAAGTGGCAGGAGCAAGTCTCAAATGGGAAACGTTCCCATGACCCTCCCATCCTACTCCCCCTGACCTGTCAGGACAGGCCCATGATGAAGAGAAACTTCTCTCTCAAGGACCTTGCTGGGCTGCTGCAGGGCACTGGTCTTCACCCTGTCCTCTGCCCCTCAGGCAGCCCTACTACCCCCTGGGCTTCACTGGAAAACTCCTGTCCAGCTGAGGCTTCCAGACTAGGGTCAGGGTGGAGTGTGCCAACTGCCCTGTGCCCGAGATGCGGAGCGCTAGGCCGCCTCTAGGTCATTCTCTCCTCCCACTGCAAACCCTTCTCTGTGCTGATGTTGGAATGCCCATGTTTGGTATCACCTTGCCTCTGCTTCTGTTGGCTTTTTTCTTCTGCAGCCCCTCCCTGGCCGTAGCTCTGGCACATGGGCGCCATACATTCTGACTGCTACGTGGGCATCTTTGCTTCAATTCACATGCAAGGAAAAATCAATGTGGGTGTAAACTAGAAAAGAGAGCAACTCCAGAGGTAAGTCCTGTAAATGTACAGCCCCCTAAGGATGTTATCCTGACTGAGGTGCCATTAGCTACAGGGTAGGCAAAATGAGGAGAAACAAGCAGTGATGCCTGAGATGGAGGCAGAGACGATGACGTGGAGAGATGGAGCAGCTAGGGACTTTAGACCCAGAGAGGGAGAGGGGCTGTGTGCTGACAG